ATATATATATATATATATATATATATATATACGTTTTGAAACACCTGTAAATAACCAGTCTATTATTTTTTATTTTCCCTTTTATTTTCAATAGCTCTTTAAAAAATGTTTATTACTACTTGTATTATTCTGATTACCTTTGTATTTAAAATATTAGTGATTAAATCAATTAAGAAAATTACTTTTACTTTTCAAACATTATTTTAGATAGATGATATAAACCATTTACATGGACATAAAAATATAACCATGTTTTTACATTTCTCAAACTTGTGGTTACTAGTTAGTAATATTTCTTTATACGCTAGTAGTGAGCTTGAATACTGTGTCTTAGTCATGAAAGGTCCACAGTGTTGAACTCAAAACATACACCATATACGTGTTTCAAAACAGATAAGTTAATTCCAGTACAAAAATAATGCATTTTGACAACAAACTAACCCTAAAATAGAAGTTTCTCCCAGAAGTCCACTGCTCTCTAACATGCACTGGGATAATACAATCTCCTTCAGCTTTTTCTAACAAAGTAAAAACAACAAATATATATAGACACAAACATAAAATAAAAAACAACACATAATTAAACTATAAAATAACTGTTCAATTTTGGCAATGAGTTTTTTTTTTTTTATTGTCTAAATGTAAGAGTTTATCCAAAGGGAATAATACTTAATTTCTTTTAACATACCTTGTGGTATTTCACATTGTTTTGAAAACATTTCCATCAGAAATCCATTACTTTCATATCAAATTACACAATTCTCACACACATAAACATGTTTAAGAATAATAAACATTAAACAATGTTAAAGTAGTTTGTTCATTTCCTAGAAGTTAAATAATTAAATCACGTAATAAATCATAAAATATCAATATTGTGTGTACCAGTAGAGAACAAAAAACCTCATTAAAACAGAACAAACTGTCAGAAGTATTTGATATTGAAGAAATTAGTTCCTCCAATATCAAGACTTTTGACAGTTTGTTCCATTTACTGTGTTCTTTGTTCTCTCACGGAGCAAAATTCCCACATTACAGAACCTAGAAACATCTAAATTTTCTTGTGTTCTTTTTGATTTTTTAAAAACAACATTAAATCTGAACTTAAAACAGGGTATCTATTGATCAATAATGTAAAAAAAAACTTTCATACAATGTACATTTTCTCATTGTAAATATTGGTTGCAGAATAAATGTTTTTCACATAACATTAGAGACTTTCAATGTGTAAAAACTTTTAAAATTAATAATATATGTAATTAGCTCATTCACGAAACTTTACAGAGAAAATTTAACAGATCATATATATTGAATTCCACGTACAAGATGATTGTAACTAACCGCTAAGTTTTCCTGAAGTATATTAACATTTTATAATGTTACACACACACTATATTCAGTTTGAAATCCTGTTACATCCTCATTCTCAACTTACAAAAAAAAGAAGTGCCCAAATATTTCAGTGAAAGTTGTACGTTGGTGTTACTTTATTTTTAATGTTAACATAGAAAAGACGTTTCTAGGTTCTATAGTTTATGGGGGTTTGTGTCCCTCTGCATCAAAATTAAGGGGACACTTTTAAGAAAATGCTAATTATATTGAAAAGTTTTATTACAAATTTATACTTAGGTGATAGAATATCATCGAGTTGCCCTGCTTTGAGAGTTACTTCTACATCACCGTTTAAGTTCCCAAAGTGAAACCTGTGTGGATGTGGCACATGAAACATATATATAGATTGCCCGTTATCAACCTAGAATATCATGGCTGGGCACATTACTAGCACATTGATATTAATATTATAAGGTGTTACTTAGAGATTGAGTTCCTATCTTCTACATCATCGTTTAAGTTCCCAAAGTGAAACCTGTGTGGATGTACCACATAAAACATATATACATAGATTGCCCGTTATCAACCTAGAATATCATGGCTGAGCACATTACTAGCACATTGTAAGGTGTTACTTAGAGATTGCGTTCCTATCTTCTACATCACCGTTTTAGTTCCCAAAGTGAAACCTGTGTGGATGTGGCACATAAAACATATATATATATATATATATATATATAAGCAGTC